AAACAAAACAAAAAAAAAAAACAGATGAACCACGCGTGGTCATAAACATGTGCATATTTTAGGCATATCATAAACCAGTCCCATAATTAGTGTAAAAGGAAGTGCTGATGCTTGTGTTCAACTTGTATTCAATATCCTGATTGGTGCTCCATTGTGCTCAACAAAAGTGCCCCACATGGACTGACACTCACCCTCATTCCATGACCATCTATCTATAGAGTGGTCATTAACGCTTTGCAGGACAATCCCAGTACGCCAATGGTCCCCGGATCCTTAAGCCTGTGATCATCTATCCTTAAGGAGGTCCGTGACATATAAGGAACAATTTCCAAAACCGCCCGCTGTCTCCACAGCTCTGCAAGCAGCAAAGAAATGTATCGCCATATATGAAGAAAAAGAAGGTCTTCCCAAAGGTAGCAGTGTCCAGCTTCAGAGGTTTGTCTGCTGCCAGCACACGTGCAACCCACAGACATGTCTCCTCTCTACTCCTACATTACCACTCCTACTTTGCTTGCTTGCTTTTGTTGAATTCATAACAAAAGAATCCAAGAACACTCTAGGTAAGGTATAGGGTGCAGTAGATGCCACCTGGTTTGAGGCTTGGTTTGCCCGATACCATCTTCAGATGGAACCATCTAACATGGGTTGAGTCTGACCAATTCACTTGCGTATGTAAATTTCAGTTTGATCTATAAAATTCTTTAAATAACAAAGATTTTCACATCAAAGAAGCAAAGGAAGCCTCTAGAAAACATGAAAGAGTCTAAAACTTCACCTGCAGGCTTAAAAGAAGAATGCAGAATTTACCTGATTAGATAAGAAATATGGGGAGTTTCACCTTACAGGTATATGTTGTATTTCATATAATGTAACCTTCAAATGCTACAACAGAAATGACAAGTCAGTATATTTAGTGATTTATACATATCCTTTATGCAGTTTTAGGTATGTTTTTATTGGCCAAAGTGTCCTTGTAAATTAGTGCTGGAATTTTAAAAATGTTTGTAATGGTACCTTCAAAAGGGCCTCTGACTGAGGATGATAGAACACAGTCACGCAGATAATGATAATCAGAAAGGATTGTTCAGAGGCTGCCAACACACACACTTCGATGACTCCATGCCCACTGACTCAGTAAGCAGTCTAGGGGTTGTCTTATTGAGCTTTAAACTAAATGAACTTGTAATCGAGGAGGGATGTAGAGCAGTGTTTCTCAACATTTTTTCAATCAAGGCACCCTTTAAAATTACGGACAGCCTCAAGGCTGTCCATCATTTTAAAAGGGGCACCCCACTCTAAAATGTGAAAAACTAATAGTTTTATATAACGCAGCAACATCCACGCATGTAGGATACCCAACATTAGAGTTGATTTATTCTTTCAAAGCAAATACACTTTTGCACACTGGTACTGACTAGTAATCCAATGTTTCTCCTCTCCCCCAGTTTTTATCTTTCACTTAGCTAATGTGACTCCAGCACTGATGGGGGCAGGGGAGGTGCAAATTAGGATGCTGTGCAGGCAGCTGTCATCCTCCTTATCAACTGATGATGTCATTGGTTGTCAGGACGCCGGCAAATAAAAGGTCGTATTGGTTCACAACGAAAACCTGTGGCTTTGTGTACCTAAAAGGCAGGCCTGTTCCACCCACTGGCTTGTATTTAAATTTTGGGTAATTTTTAGACATTTTGCCAAGGCACCCCTGAAGAAACCTCAAGGCACCCAAGGGTTGAGAAAGCCTAATGTAGAGCATGGGATAAGTGCAGATTCAAATAAGAGGACACTAGTTTCACTGCCCTAAAAATAGTACACCTTGACCCCTGAGACTGGATGGAAATGTTAGATTAGGGGTAGTTGAGCATTCCATACCAAGTAACACTAAATTGGCTCTTTTATCCTTGCAGTACCAAATGTCACCATGATCAGCAATCTTTTATTCATGAGGCCAAGGGTTAGCTTAGCTTGCTGATGCCTTCTAGGGAGGTGATAGTAGAAATCCCAGAGGTGTGTTTGAAGTTGCAGGTAAGTCTCCTTGGATCTGCCACAGCCAGGACCCTGATGCACAGCAATTGAACCAATAGTACAACCTTCAGAGATTTCACCTTTCCCAGCTGATTAATCTTTTAGGCTAAATATGTAGGATTGTGCTCCAAAAGGTAGGCTAGGTCTCACTGAAGCTTCTTAGCCTAGCTGCATAAATAGTCCAGCAGCAACTCCCCAGGGGCGGACTGACTGTCAGGGATCCGGATATGACCAGAGATGTGTGGACTGACACAGGGAAACGCAGGCTTCAAGTTAGGTGTAAAAAATATAATTTATTAAAGGCTATACAATACACAAAACGCAGTGCAAACAAACCAAACCTAAACTAATATAAATATGTACAACGAAGTGCAAACAAAACCCAAACCTTAACTGATATAAATATGTATGGAGCACAAACGTAGTCAGGCAGGCCGGGTCGGTAGCTAATGGGCAGACAAGGTACAAAGGAGCAGGCAGAAGAGTGGTCAAGAATAGGCGGGGGTCAGTATGGGCAGAGTTCAAGCAGTATCAGAGTCCAGCAGGAGCATCAGGCAGGCAAGAGGCAGGATACAGGGCACAAGGGAGCAATACACCAAGGCACTGACTGCAGGTCTGGTCCTGCTTTAATACACCTCCTGCAATCAGCCTCAGGTGATGGCCTGATTGCAGGAGTGAGACACTGGCTGCTGAGAGCACCCGCTGGCCAGCACTGGTACTGCAGCCCACAAGACAGGTAAGCCCCAGCACTACCAGAGATAAGACCATTCCTGACACTGACCATTTGGAAACTCGGGCACTGTCCGAGGGCCCGGGGTCAGTAGGGGGGCCCCATGAGATGCCCTTGGTACCTTTTTCATAGGCTTTTTTGAGTTTGGGCAAGGACACAGGGGCCCCATGATCCCCTATTGCCCGGGGGCCCCATGACTTGTCAGTCCGCCCCTGCTCAGACCTCTATACTCTTCCTCCTCTTACTGGGATGACCAAGAGGAAAATTAATATTCATACCTCAGCCAAGTAGGAATCCTAATACTATGGCCAGTGGAGTGATGACCCCCACGGGTAACAGTGCGAGACCACAAACCTTCTGAGCTTAGGGAGGAACTAAATGTGTAGCTACACAAATCAAACTAAGTTGACTACCACACAGTCAAAAACTAAACGTACCTATTTCTTAGCAACCTAAGAGGGTGCTACATAATAATGATAGATGTGGTCAGGTATTAACCGGAATGTGCAGGCCGGTAAAAAAAAGGTTTGGGAATCACCACTCTTAAAAGACCACAAAACACCATATACCCAAGTTAGGACATGGTTTTTAAATGAAATACAGAGTCATTTACTGTATATTTTGTACCAATACAAGAGAATGATGCTAGGTAATAAGAATGCAATATAGCATGCAAAATTGAATTTTATTGTGCCATTAGTTTTGAAATCTAGCTACATTTCCATGGACAAAATGTTTTCATTAACCAGTACTTTAAACCTTGGGCTGTCTGTGGAAATAACAGATAATTGGTAGCTATGCAACTATATATAGTTTAGGATTATAACTAAATAAGCAACACAGACGCACACAAACAGAGTTGCAGGGATACAAAAGTGCTTGTACGCAGATCATATTGCTCCAGTGAAAGTCAAGCAGCATGACCTCACAGAGATCGGGTTGCTTTGCACGCTGGGAACACTAAGAATGTGACGTGACAGGTCATGATTAAAATGAAATGTGCATGCTTTAATTCAGCTGTGCTCACTGCACAGACCACACACAAACCAATTTGATCTGAAATAAGATAAGTGTTTTCTGGCCAGACAACATATAAAATGTGTTGTGGACGGGTCCACCCAATGTGATCTGTCATACAATTGTACAAACTAAGATGCTTGCTAGTAGAGAGCGAGGGATGATAAAATGCTCAAAACATCTGTGTTCTCATATTAGGTGCAAATACTATGCATTATATGTTTTAACACACCCCCATATTGATGTTTCGGTTATGGGCGACGAAGGGATAAATCACCTGCTGGACCCATATATGTTTCAGAAATTACAAAGTTTCCCAGCATAAGTATGAGTCTCCTCCCTGCCCCAGCTGATAAATGAACAATGGTGGCGTCACTCATTCCAAAATAAACGACGTTGTCTGTCCCATACATTGTTTTTACAAAGAACTGGAATATTCCAGCACTGAAATTTAGAAGGAATTTATAAATGCATATATATACTAAATATACAGTGTATGCCAGGGATAGGTCCTGGATGGGAGATATGTGTCCCCCGTAAGTGAGCTGTGGTCCCTTTAAGGAGGGACAAAAAGAAGCTCAGTTGGAATACTCAACGATTCTCACCCATACAGGGTGAGTGGTTCCCTTGTGATCCAATAGAAAAGGAAAGCTGATTTGCAGCTTTCCCAAGATTATGAAGTCCTTATATGGGACCCATAATTCAGTTGCTTGGAGAGATTCTGGGGGGGGGGGAAGCCTTCAACCCTGATTACAGGCACGTTGGTCCTGTAAGTTTTAACCTGCCTGCAAGAGAGGGCTGAGAAGGGCAGGAAGCTGTCAGTAGGTGTCTTAGAGGTGTAGAAGAAAACACAGTTATGTTAAAACTGTGAACTATCTGGCTATTGAGACTAGAGATGAGCGAAGTATTCAAAAATTCGATTCGGCTGATTCGGCGAATTCGAGGAATAAATTTGATTCGAGTCGAATATATTCGCTGCGAATTTAACTTATAAAAGGGTGTTTCTAGGCTTCAGAGAGCCTTTATATTAGTGCAGAACACTGTACCTTTAATTTAAATGCCCTTGGAGTCTGCTGGGGAAGAGAAATAATACTGTCAGTCAGTATGACATGCAGATGAGTGTCGTCGATCTTAGAATCACCGCACACTTCACTCACTTGGGCAGTCACGGGGCCAAAACCAGAGTGTGGAGCCACAGTGTGGCGGTGGAGGCAGCAGCAATGGGAGGCCATACAGCACCCTATGACAAAATGGAACACACCAGCAGTGTGAGGAGACCTGAAAGTGGCACATGGCAGAGTGTGGCGATGGAGACAGCAGCAATGGGAGGCCGTACAGGGACCCATGACAGATTACGGGCCTGGCAGCAGCATGAGGAGGCGGTACAGGGGCCCATGGCAGATTAGGGGCCTGGCAGCAGCTATGGGAGGCCCGTAATCTGCCAGCACCCTATGACAAAATGGAACCCACCAGCAGTGTGAGGAGACCTGAAAGTGGCACATATTTGGGGCATGATTCATGGCGGATTTAGTCAGTTGTGTCAGGAACTGGTGGTTTGAAATCCAGACTAATCCACGCCTGATTCATTTTCACAAACGTGAGTCTCTCCACACTTTGGGTGGACAGTCGTGTCCTCCGCGGAGTTACAATACCTCCTGCCGCACTAAACACGCGCTCCGATGCCACGCTACTGGCCGGGCATGACAGCCTTTCAAGGGCAAATTCAGCTAGTTGGGGCCAAAGGTCAAGTTTCGTTGCCCAGTAGTCAAGGGGATTGTCTACCTCGGTTGGCAGGGTGCTGTCCAAGTAGGCCCAAGCCTGTTGTTTGAGGTCCTGCTCCAGGTCCACCTGATGCTGCTGCTGCTGCTGGGTGGTTAGTAGTTTCCTCACTGCGCTGGTGAAGAAAGCTACTCATCATCGACTGCAGACTGAGGCAGCCGCTGCTGGTGGAGCTGCCACTGCTCCTACCACCCCCACCCCTCCCCTGCTGCCATGGCAGCGGAACGTGAGCGCACAGGGCCCACAGTGTCTGAGGATGGACGTTGGCGCAGAAAGGCAGAGACCAACTGACTACATAGGTGGTTTTTATAGTACTTTATTTTGGCCTCCCTCTCAGCAGGTGTGAAAAAAGGCCACCATTTTTGAACGGTAGCGAGGGTCCAACAAGGTGGACAGCCAAAAGTCATCCCTCTGTCTGATGGTTATTATTCGGCTGTCGCTACACAAGCAACCGAGCATGCTATGGGCCATTTGTGCCAAGGAATGCGAGGGACTCCCTGCCTCCATCTCCACAGCATACTGCCACGGTGCGTCTGGGTCCTCTGTCTCCTCCTCCTCCTCCTCTACCAGATGCTCCTGCTCCTCACTTCTGTCCGCTGAGTGGAAAAACCACCCATTTCACTCAATAATTCCTGAGCACCAATGTCCTCCTCTACCTCCTCCTCTTCTTCCTGTCCTGCCCCACACAGGGGTCATGTGGCGTTGAGATCTGTGCGCCACGTCTACCGCACCCTGACCAGCCATTGTTAACAGCATTTGTTCCAGGACGTGCAACAGAGGAATGACGTCGTTCATCCCATAGTCCTGCCGACTCACGAATAGCGTGGCCTCCTCAAAGGGCTGAGCAAGCGGCAGGTGTCACGCATGAGCTGCCAATGGCTGACATCGAAGTTACACAGGGGAGTACCTTTATCCGCTTGTAACATCAGGAAATCGGTGATGGCCTTTCGCTGTTCGTAAAGGCGGTCTAACATATGTAGGGTTGAATTCCACCTTGTTGCAACGTCACAGCATGAGGAGTCGGTACGGGGGCCATGGCAGATTACGGGCCTGGCAGCAGCAATGGGAGGCCCGTAATCTGCCAGCACCCTATGAAAAAATGGAACACACCAGCAGTGTGAGGAGACCTGAAAGTGGCACATGGCAGAGTGTGGCGATGGAGACAGCAGCAATGGGAGGCCCGTACAGGGACCCCATGAGAGACTGGACCTGGCAGCAGCATGAGGAGGCGGTACAGGGGCCCATGGCAGATTACGGGCCTGGCAGCAGCAATGGGAGGCCCGTAATCTGCCAGCACCCTATGACAAAAAATGGAACACACCAGCAGTGTGAGGAGACCTGAAAGTGGCACATGGCAGAGTGTGGCGATGGAGACAGCAGCAATGGGAGGCCGTACAGGGACCCATGAGAGACTCTGGACCTGGCAGCAGCATGAGGAGGCGGTATAGGGGGCCCATGGCAGATTACGGGCCTGGCAGCAGCAATGGGAGGCCCGTAATCTGCCAGCACCCTATGACAAAATGGAACACACCAGCAGTGTGAGGAGACCTGAAAGTGGCACATGGCAGAGTGTGGCGATGGAGACAGCAGCAATGGGAGGCCGTACAGGGACCCATGAGAGACTCTGGACCTGGCAGCAGCATGAGGAGGCGGTACAGGGGCCCATGGCAGATTACAGGCCTGGCAGCAGCAATGGGAGGCCCGTAATCTGCCAGCACCCTATGACAAAATGGAACACACACCAGCAGTGTGAGGAGACCTGAAAGTGGCACATGGCAGAGTGTGGCGATGGAGACAGCAGCAATGGGAGGCCGTACAGGGACCCATGAGAGACACTCTGGACCTGGCAGCAGCATGAGGAGGCGGTACAGGGGCCCATGGCAGATTACAGGGGCCTGGCAGCAGCAATGGGAGGGCCCGTAATCTGCCAGCACCCACCCTATGACAAAATGGAACACACCAGCAGTGTGAGGAGACCTGAAAGTGGCACATGGCAGAGTGTGGCGATGGAGACAGCAGCAATGGGAGGCCGTACAGGGACCCATGAGAGACTCTGGACCTGGCAGCAGCATGAGGAGGCGGTACAGGGGCCCATGGCAGATTACAGGCCTGGCAGCAGCAATGGGAGGCCCGTAATCTGCCAGCACCCTATGACAAAATGGAACACACCAGCAGTGTGAGGAGACCTGAAAGTGGCACATGGCAGAGTGTGGCGATGGAGACAGCAGCAATGGGAGGCCGTACAGGGACCCATGAGAGACTCTGGACCTGGCAGCAGCATGAGGAGGCGGTACGGGGGCCCATGGCAGATTACGGGCCTGGCAGCAGCAATGGGAGGCCCGTAATCTGCCAGCACCCTATGACAAAATGGAACACACCAGCAGTGTGAGGAGACCTGAAAGTGGCACATGGCAGAGTGTGGCGATGGAGACAGCAGCAATGGGAGGCCGTACAGGGACCCATGAGAGACTCTGGACCTGGCAGCAGCATGAGGAGGCGGTACAGGGGGCCCATGGCAGATTACAGGGCCTGGCAGCAGCAGCAATGGGAGGCCGTAATCTGCCAGCACCCTATGACAAAAAATGGAACACACCAGCAGTGTGAGGAGACCTGAAAGTGGCACATGGCAGAGTGTGGCGATGGAGACAGCAGCAATGGGAGGCCGTACAGGGACCCATGAGAGACTCTGGACCTGGCAGCAGCATGAGGAGGCGGTACGGGGGCCCATGGCAGATTACAGGGCCTGGCAGCAGCAATGGGAGGCCCGTAATCTGCCAGCACCCTATGACAAAATGGAACACACCAGCAGTGTGAGGAGACCTGAAAGTGGCACATGGCAGAGTGTGGCGATGGAGACAGCAGCAATGGGAGGCCGTACAGGGACCCATGAGACACTCTGGACCTGGCAGCAGCATGAGGAGGCGGTACAGGGGCCCCATGGCAGATTACAGGCCTGGCAGCAGCAATGGGAGGCCCGTAATCTGCCAGCACCCTATGACAAAATGGAACACACACCAGCAGTGTGAGGAGACCTGAAAGTGGCACATGGCAGAGTGTGGCGATGGAGACAGCAGCAATGGGAGGCCGTACAGGGACCCATGAGACACTCTGGACCTGGCAGCAGCATGAGGAGGCGGTACAGGGGCCCATGGCAGATTACGGGCCTGGCAGCAGCAATGGGAGGCCCGTAATCTGCCAGCACCCTATGACAAAATGGAACACACCAGCAGTGTGAGGAGACCTGAAAGTGGCACATGGCAGAGTGTGGCGATGGAGACAGCAGCAATGGGAGGCCGTACAGGGACCCATGAGACACTCTGGACCTGGCAGCAGCATGAGGAGGCGGTACAGGGGCCCATGGCAGATTTCGGGCCTGGCAGC